TCTGAGCCTCAACAAAGTGTTTATTTTGAAGGTCAGCCACATACTGGTGGCAGATGGATCAGGAGTTCATTATTCCGCTGGTCGTTTGTTTGTTTTAGTAGAGGTTATACGGCGCTCGCAACTGCATAAGGTCATATGAGCGCCAGAAGATTAGAGGTGAACTGTAACAAGAGAGTAACAAACATAAAAAAGAAGAAGGGGAGATAAGGACGATAGGTGCTTGATAGGAAAGAAGGAGCAAACCACATCAGAGCGCCCGCCAACCGGGAAAAACAGCAAGAGAGCTAGACGGAATACAGAACAGACACCTTCAGCAGAGAGGTTGCGAGGTTTCAATTTTGTTGAGTAAAGAGAAGCACATCAACACAATAGCAGTCATTTAGAGCTGGGATAAAGTACGAAGACAGACAGAAACAACAGAGGAAAATTAAAGAAATAGGAACTACCAGTAGCACCTTCCAACCACCCACGGTACATCAATGGAACAGGAGTAGCACTCCTTAAGAAGAAGTCAAGAAATGGAAACAGCAGGCAGACAGGAAATAATAAGATTTAAAAGGAGCCAATATATTTGAAATTCTCAGATAAAAGCAAAAACATTCAGTAACATTACAACAAACAAAACAAGTAAGGTGAAAAACAAAAATCTAACAGCATTTTGCAAATAAAAGTTGCTTTATTTATTTCAGCATGACTATGTACATATTTTGAAAGGAATTTCCCAATCCTTTCCCGTCGGCCATCCCGAGACAAATGTTCGTAATAAAAACACACTCATCCATCCCCACCATACAACACATACAGGATCAACTAGGTTGAGAACCATACAACCACAACCACACATCCAATCTTTCACTAAATGTCACAGCACTCATTCAATAAATGGTAAAATGGTGTAGTCACTTCTCTGTGTGATATTATGAGCAAAACTAGATTCATATATTTCAACTCTCCAATCCCTTCATTGCCAGGAGGTGTGCGTTTCTACTGTCATAATTAATTTTGAGTGTAGCTCGTTAGTCAGGACAGCAGGCTATATCAGTACCATCAATAGAAGACTTGTAGGCTGGTTCTTGCCTACTTATAACATGTTTGGGCCCCCTATCCATGGTACGGCATGAAGCTAAAAATTACTGTATGCAATTTTATGACGTATCATATGAACATAATAAGGCAACAAAGGGGTTGACTTGATATTTATGCACTAAGGATTCATACTTCATCAGTATGGTGACTATAAAGGACATAAATATATCAAGTGAGCAATTACAATTTATCTTGATTTGCTCAAAACATCAAAAAATAAAAACATAGATCTACTTGGCCAAATATGAAACGAGTGTTATGACATATCACAGTTACCTGCAATGAACAATTTTCCCATCTTATATAACACGGACATGAGTCTCAAAGACAACAACATGACATCTGACTCTGAAGCTGAATTATTTTTTGTTTTCCGTTACAAACTCACTAAAGACAATAAGCCATACACCAATATCTACTACCAATATGTCCATCCGATTTTAGACTGAAAAGTGTTTGGTAACAATCTGTTGCAAGTCCTGCTCACTCATTACCCTGTGAAGAGAGCAATGGATGTGGGAAAAAAAAGACATGCTAAATAAAAAAGTGTTACTATTATTTTAGATTTGCTGGAGTTTTAGGACTTTCTATGTACCACTGACTAAAGGCATATTTAAAAATTTTTTTTTGCCTTGAGACTAGAGAAATGGAAACTACAAATCTTCAGACAACATGGGATGCAATTTTGCTGATACTGATATCACCTTACTGTACAACCTTTTGCCCTCAGATATATTTCACTAGAGGTAAACATAGCAACTAGTAATGTCTCGTCTCCCCTTTCCCCCTGCTTCTGAGAAAAAATTACAACTCTCTTGAAATGCAAGCAGCAATTATTATTTAGGGTTTATCTGATGTCTGAAAACTGGAAAACTAGCTTACTTCAGCCCACATATTTGCACAACGTTGACATACTCTGCTTATAAATGAAATTTGTTTTTGAAGAAAGAAAATCCAAACTTATTCATTCATGGTCCCTCTGTCATATTTTGGACAAACTAAAGAAGACAAAGGACAAAAAAAAGTTTACAAAACAGAAGTATCCCTCCCTGAAAAAGAAAGGGAGGGGCTTCCCAGGCTTATGGTTCATTACTTAAACATTCTTCAACGTTGCCATTACAAAGACATTGCCTTTTTAAACAGTGCAGGCTGACAAAGTATTGTATATTATAACCATATTAGAAAAACTTTTCACTTGGGTCTAAGAGAAATTCCGCCAAACAGCTGTGTGAACCAACTCGACAGCATGATCTAAAATCTAAGAACGAAGTGCGATTGTTAGTGAAATGAAAATGATTTCATGAAGGTAACACTTCCATATTTTCAAATAAATTTGAATTACCCTGAACAAGATGAAGCCATAGCCTGTGCCTTCTCCTAACTGGGAGATTCATCACAAAGAAAACTTGAACAAGTGCAAAACGTGCCTCCACCCTCATCCATTGTTTGTATACTCATAATTTGTATAGGCCTACTGCCCTCTATTCTTTCTATCACAATTCTTAACGCCAAGTCTGCACAGCAGGCCATCTCGAGGACAGGGAATGGCATTTGCTACTTCTGCCTCAAGTTTCTTCTTACATCAAGACATACTTGCAGCAATGACAATTACTTTTCAAGCTCCACTGTTCTGGTTTTTATCATTCCCTCTCTTCTAACTGAGATCTTCCTTCCAAGTCAGTAGTCCAAAACATCTTAAAAAAGACCCCCCCCCCCCTTCCACTAAAGATTAATTCTTCCCGGATCAAAACAGAAAACCCCCCAAACTATTTCACTCAACTTTAAAAAAAAAGAACAAAACTAGAAACACTACGCTATTCCCATTTTTTTTCTTTCAATTTCAAGACAATTCATAATCTTTTTGTGCCATACACGAGGAAAAAAAACAACCCAACAAATCACAGGAAAAATACCTACTGGGAACTATTATCAAACTGTCACTGAATTGGAATTGCCATAAACTTTCTCAAATGCTTAAAGCTATTGATCCCCCCCACTCCAATCATATCGATATTTAACATATATAAATAGAACAGACAACTCAACAAAAACAATCACTGATATGAGGCTTGTGAACCAAATATAGATCCTCCTTCTTGTGACCCTATAGAACCCATTGGAATTTGTTGGCCGGCCAAAGCAGGGTCTTCCTCCATGATACGATTCGCTGCAAGAAACAAAACAAATGCCCCCTTTACAAACAAATCATAGTTCATTTAAGCAATATTCGGTAAAAACATGTTATAATAAACAATACCTGGAGTCTAGATTAACACAAAAGTGACAAACACCATAGGCATAAACATGGCTTAAAATTAAAGATGCTGTATCTAAATTTTATAGACTCACATGGCATCAAACATTCTTACAATATATTATATACAAAGGAATCTGCTTAAACTGAACAAGCTTGGTTAACCAAAAACATTTGTAAACTGAAAGAAAATAAAATTAGTTTTCTTTTTCTCCCTTCTATTTGAGCAGTCCCTCTAAACAGGAAACCCGGCCAGACCACAGAAAACCCAAAGGTCGCGCAGATTTTGGTTTAAGTGGACTCTGTTGCACTTTTTACAAATGCAAAATTCTCTTCATTTCTAAGCCCAAAACTAGATAGCACTGAAGAAAAGGACTTCTGTTTTTCAAGAGATGTCCATCAAGAAGGTACCAGAAACTAAATTTTCAAAGTAGCTGTATGCCAAACTTATTTGTTCCATATGAAAGGCCATTATCTCCTGATAATTTTGGTACCATTCTTTAACCTCTTAGTCAATTTTTTAGAAAATGGTAGCTGTTTAAAATTTGATCAAAAACCATGTTTGACAGATAACAAAAAGAGAACCAAGTGCACCAAACATCTCCACATTAATAGAGTACAATAACTATAACATAGATATGGAGCCTAATTTCATTCAAGACAGTAAGATCAATACAAATCAGTATTTTATCACCGCAAACACGATCTATCGTTATTTCGACAAAAACAGCGAGCGTTGACCCCCCCCACTCCCCCCGACGAGCGAGTCGGCTCCATACACTGTAGTGTAGCGAGCGCTCCCCCGTGGGGGGTCACATGCTTTCCGAGTTTCGCGGAGGGATAGATGCAAAATAATTCGAAGCGGATTACTTTATTCTAATGAAAAATGAACTGATCTTTCTAATGGTACTTTTTCTTGGTCTGTATTTTACATATTTCGTGTAAAAAAATGATCTTTGAAAACTTCGACAATATTTTAAAAGGCTTTCTAATTAAACGCCAACGGCCAAATACATACCATGGCAAAGCCCGCCTAAAGCTCTACAGTTCTCCACCAACGAAAAGACGGCATTTAATCAATAATCTTTCCGCCAAACATTTGATGAATGCACCCGTGTCAACTTTTAAACTGGCAGACCACGTGGGGCTTTGGTTTCGATGGCGATTCTCCAGCTTCTAACAATCGGACATATAAACAACTTACACCATTGTAACGAGGAAAAGCTTAAATTACAAGGTGTGCAGCATTTGATGTTTTATAGCGAAAGTGCAAAGAGACAGTGATATGAATTAACCCGATTTCACCAATACCAAGCGTTCAGAAGGCCGCGAGTGCCTGCGAGGCCGTGTTTACGCTACCTACATCAAGACAAGAACAATTATTTAATGCTGGGAATAGGAAAGCCAGATAGACAAAAACTGAAAATGGGACTTTACGATAAAACATTACAGAAAATAAATGAAGTAAACAAAAGTGCAAGAGATTTATACCTGGCTGTCTTTCAACTGAAGAGTATTCAGGTTCAGGAACAGTGTAAACAAGCCTGCCATTCATATGACAACAATATCAAAACAACCCCCCCCCCCCCCCCCCCAAAAAAATCCCACAGACTGACACAATGTTACCAAAACTGAAAATAAATAGTGAACTGGTACGGTAAGTATTACTACAATGTCATTGTCTGTAATTTGCAAACCACTTACCAATAACAGCAGAGCCAATGATTGCTCCAGTTCCATCTGAAAAAAAAAGAAGGGGATGGAATCAATGAGACACATGATTATGATATGAAGGTCAGACTGCCAATTCAGATATGAAACAATGGTTTTGCTAGGGTCAAATCAAACTCTTTTTACAAAATAATAATATAAGCCTATAATGACTACAGAAAAATGCAATATCAAAGAACAGTTCTTGTTTGATGAATACGGTACAACAATTATTTTTTCAATAATAGCTAGACAGGAAAATTTTATGAGCAGAAGTAAACAGCAGGTCTGGAATCTGTGCAAGTAATTCTCCATCAGAACTGTGATCATAATACCTTCGCTGACCTCACTTTATGTACAATAGGCATTATCCCCCTCCCAGTTTAGAGAAGAAACAGGGGGTGGTGTGGGGTGATGTGGTGGGTTGGGGGAGAACCCCCCCCCCCCCCCCATTCATCGACAGCTTCTTTGCTTTTTTTCATTGTGCCACTGGAGCTTACTTTCAAAGAACCACATGGCAATGGGGCAATTTTTAGCTTTTCAGCTAGTACGTTGTCTGTGTTTGTTATTTGGCTCTCTTGGCCAGTTAAAATTTCCAAAATTGTTATTGACAAGTGTGTCTTGTCATTAAGGCTTTGGAATTGGATCAGTTAGACACTGCAATAGCTATGAACCACCAAGTGCAACAAAAACAGAATTTACCATAAACACTCTGTTCAAAAACAAAATAAACTACAACACTTACGCAGCACGCCATTACATAATGTTAAGTCTGAATAGCAAGAGTGCCCATCTACTAATATATTTTAAAAAACTGTTGAAATCAAGAACAATTTCCTTACTTCTAACAGACAAAATAGCGCCTGTGAGAGCTCCGCTGGTAATAGAGTTCCATGGATCTTCCTTCTTGCGTATGTACACCATGGTGCAGTCGATGGCAGAGAAGAGTCCTCCCCACACAGCAAAGTTACCTGTGGGGACACAGAACATGGAGTAGACAACATGAGCCCGACCATCCAGATACATAGTGATTGAGACAGAACAAACAATAAAATACACCACATGTGCATTTCACTTACTCTACTAAACTGGACCACAGAGATGGAACTGTAACAACTTCCTGCTGCATGTTTCATTTACTTTGAGCATTTCGCTAGCAGTCCTGCAGCTGGTTAGCATGCACATTTTCAATTCCCACATAAAAACCACAACATTTTGGCTCTTTTCCTATGGAGAAACAATAAATGCAAATTAAAAATATATACCACAGACCGAGCAGCAATGTGAATGAAACCACGACCAGAATGTGAGCTGCTCGGATGAAACTGCGGAACTCGGATTCAACGAGGTCGCTGGGCCTGACCTAAAATCCTGTTGAATCCGAGAGTTCTTTATAAACAAACATGAGGTTTTGTGTGGATAATTATAGGCACTGAGCAAGTAATGTATAAAGAGAAGTAACAAGTGGTGCCTAAAATGCCTGCATATTATGAGCTGGGCAAAAAAAAAAAGAAGACCAACTTACTCAAATGCACGCCTGCGTCATCTCGATTGTTTGCCAAAAGGTTGTGTTGCTGTGTAGAGCCTAGCATACAGCAACTTTTGATTCCTTAGACCAATGCATAATTCATTAATTAGATTTACTTCAAGACTATCTTTTCATCATTGTAATAATGATCAGTTGCCGGGGGAAAAAAGACTGACGTGTTGGTATCTGCGACGTTCCACGCCAGGACCGCTGGTGCCCCCCCTTCCCCTGACACCCACACACAGTCACATGTGTGCAGGCCGCCTGCCCAACCCCGACACACACTAGAGTAGACACGTGCGTGTGCCAACAATGCATGTGTGGGAATGAAAGAAGGCCGCTGATTGGTCGCATGCAATCAGCTAAGTGAATAATGGTTCACGATGCAGGTGCAATGGATGTTTTCCAGCGAGGAATAAAGTTCGTTTTGGGAGAAAAATGAGCCAAGCCACGCCTGCGGGGGCTGTTCACCCTGGAAGCAACCTCGTTGAATCTGAGCTCGCTGATTTAAATGTTCGTTGAATCCGCGTTATTTTTATTGATTTTAAAGAAGAAAAAACCCCCCCAAAAAAATAAAAAATGGGGAATCCATCTCCTTTCGTTGAAGCCAAGTTCCACTGTATGTGAAAAAGTAAATTGGCTTCAGTAATCAGGCCTGAGGCATAAAGACAAATCTTGTGTGCACTTATCCCAGCAATAGAATAGAGATTTTTTACATTAAAAAAAACTTTCCTTCAGCATCCTTGTGCAAGTAGTACTCACAAATTTCTTCTGCTACTTAAGATGAATTGAAACTATCCGAGCCCAAACTGACTAGTACATTTTACTCATTACCTTTGTAAACAGAAGCTGGCAAATGATATTTAGAGGGAGCTTTCTCAATAATTTGCAAACATTTTCAAACTGGCCTGTGTGTTGCCTGTCTAGTATAGATCTTGGTAAATTGTGCTGCCCATTCTGCAACTACTTGAGCCTTTTTAAAATTGATTTGAGCAGCCTACAATCAACCCCATGTTGTTACTTCAAAGGATGACTTGTACTAGAAAGAACATAAAAGAGAAGACAATATGTGAGGCAGCGTGGTGGAATCAGGTTCTCGTCAAAATAATCAAAGTGAAGAAACTTGCATTTTTCTGCAGGTTTGTGAATTTTTATCAAATTTTTTTTTTGGCTCAACATCGTTCATGCCCATTAAAGAACTCATTTCTATGTGGACATTTCTTTAAAATGTTGATTAAAGGCACAACAAATGTAGATTTTCAGTTACCACGGACTCTTAAGCTAAGGAAATAACTAATCTTTGGCTGCCATTTTCTCTCTAATTTTACCTCTGAAAACAGGTAATCCAAACCTTCATTCGCAAATATCTCAACTTGTATTCAAGATAAATGGATATTTTTTTCATCAAAATAAAGACAAGTGAACAAGCTTTAAGATGATACTAATAACTCTACATGCCCAAAAATTGACGAGAGCCTGATTCCACCACGATGCCTCACATATTTAAAAAATTACAAGCTAGATAAGTTAAAGATACTCCGTAGAACAGTGTTCGCACACTCAAAGTACATAGAAGACTAGGTGAACGTGGCACTCGCTTGAATTATATTTTTCTGCTTTGTAATGCTGGAACTGACATGGACCTTAGTGTACTCAGCGTGTAATGACACATATGATTTACTAAAAGATACTTGAGCCTCTTTTATGTTTAACCTCTAGCGCCCGAAACCGTTGCTGCCCTAGAATACTATACCGCTGAAAAACGCTGCTCTCAATTGACCCCAGTTAGCAATCACTACTTTCTGCTGCCTGTGTCAGGGGAAACAACTGTATTACTATTAGGCCGGTCCCAGAGTGGCTCTGTAGGTCTGACCTGTAGCTCGCACCGTGCAAATGAATGTATACATTATGATGATTATCGTGTGCTTAAGCAGCGTCGCTGTGTCGTCTGTTTTTTGTCAGCTGAGATGTGTGATGCCTCAGACGTGTTATTCAACAGTGTTGTAAAAATGGCGGACATGTGTCGCCTCGCTTCGTGTTTATTTTCGACTGAAACTCTTCAAAGATCATCAAAATCAACAAGAAGTATTATTAGGTGCTTTACTATTAAATATTGCTAGCATCAACACTTGGCCACAAAATCACCCAGAAATGCACTTTATCATACTCTTAGAAACTTCGAATCGAGAGGCTGACCTGGTTTTGACTGTTGTCGTAGGCCTAGGCCTAGATCTAGCCTTGCACTACCAATGTAAACTATCGCCGCGCGCAGCTGCAAGTGTGTTTGTGTGTGTGTGTGTGTGTGTGTGTGTGGGGGGGGGGGGGGGGGTGAGGTGTGCACTTGGCACATGACGTGAAGAAGAGTTGTCCCATCTTGGTATAATTGGTCTTGGATTACACAGTACCTAAACATAGCAAGGCAGACCCGTCAGTTGCACACCTACACACGTCAACACACAGTGCGGCTGTGCTGAGACGCAGCGAGTGTGCCTCGCACTCGCTGAGACACAGGCGCCAACCCATAGAGCGGCTGTGCTGACACGCACATGGCGTGCGCCAGGCGAGCTACAGGTCATACCTACAGAGCCACTCTGGGACCGGGCTTAAAGTTTGCTTGCACAGGAGAAAGTTTTGAAAACTGAATTGAGAGAGCTGGTGGCTATGAAGAAGCGAGATGAATGATTTATCTGAAGATGAGTTGCCTAGTCCTTCAGGGCGAAATTTATTTGAGTTATTTCACATTCCTGACAGTGGTGCTGAAGATATTCAGTCAGATATCTCAATTGAGAATGACTTTAATGTGCAGCAGTTGATGGGAAGTCATGATTCAGATAATGACAGTGAAAAGAGCAGTGGTGCTAGGCCTACATCTAGTTCTGGGAACTCAGGCACAGTCACAGCTGATGGTGATGCATGTGCCACACCCACTGATAGGTGGAGTTATGACTGCACAGACCTTGGGGAAAGGTTTTGCCATTCAGAGATCTATTCTATGGTCTCTCTAAAATGTTAGACCTAGACTCAGAACCTGTCGAATATTTTATGGAGAATTTTTAAAATGACATTCGCTAACCAAACCAATAAAATGCTGGGCAAAGGAGACGAGTGTCTTGATAGGGGTTAAAAGCTTAGTGTAAGAAGCAAGGAAATCACACAAAGCCAGGCAAACTAGTGCAAGCAACAACCCACCGCCCTGCTTGAAACAAAAGACTCTGTAATGACTGTTTTGAGGCATAATAATGTTACAATGGACATTGCTCATTAGCCATGAAAAAAATGAGTAAATTTCATTATTAGGTCAACAGTGCTCACTCCCATGGGTCACCATGACCCACTTTTAGAGTCATTGCTGCATGTAGGGTAGCCAGTCCATTTATCTACTTTGTATGAAAATTTGAAAGAAATCTGTGCACAAATATTTAAGTTATTTAGAAAACTGTACCATGACTCATCTTTAACTGTTCCATTGAAAAAAAGTCAGAACAACAATAATAGAGAGTAATAATTGGGAAAAACTTACGACACTAAAGGTTACTTAAGGATGCCCCTTGAAAAGAATTGAAAATTTACAGTCGCATTTGCAAACATAAAGACAGTTAATAGACACAACAACTATGGCGTAAACTTAGAAAATAATGCTGAGAACATAAACAGTAACCGTTTTTCTTACCTTATTTTTTTTTGCTTAAAGAAAATGATATAAATGTCTAGATTTTGTCAGGATATTTTATCTATTTGGCTCTCAAAACACATCCCAGTGTAACATGACAGAATTCTTAAGAAGGGCCTTCCTCATAATAATTCTGAACATAATTGATAATCTTACCTCCAACAACAGGAGCCCTTTCTTTCAGTGTGACGAAGCTGCTGATCAAACGTCTATAGTTGCCCTGCAAAAAAGTAAAGAAAGGAAGCAATGAGAGACAATGCAGTGGTGCTTCAGTGATTCAGATTAACCTGAAAATTCAAAACTTGTTACTTCTTTTATACGGCATATAATACAATTTTTACTTTTTGGTAAGTGTTTTACGGCGCTCGCAACTTCATAAGGTCATATATGAGCGCGCGGGACACACCTAATACTTTTTAGTTGGTAGGAAATTTTGAATTTTGCACAGGTGGCGGCCGAAGCCTACTCTTATTGATTTTAGACCACAAAGGGATCTTTAACGTGCGCAACTTGCACACGGGCCCTCCGAGATTTTTCACCCTTGTCCGAGAAGGCTAGGTGTAGATCTTTCCTACCAGAAGACCAGGGGTGTGGTAGAAAGACAGCTGTAAGAAGGAGTCAAGGAGTAGCAGTCAAAGGAGGGGGCAAAGGAGGTGAGGGGGTGGGGGCAGAAAGAGGAGACGAAAGCAGATGACAGAATATTGCTGGAGAGCAGAAAAGGAGGTGAAATGAGACAATTTTAGAGAAAAAATTTTTTCGGTTGCTACCCGGATTCGAACCCGAGACCTTTGAATGAGAGGCCAACACCTTACCCTCTAGGCCACGAGAGCCCCCGCACATAATACATGAATGGCAATGGAAAATAATGATTGAAAAGGCAAAGACCACAGAGCTTTCTTAACAGGTAAAACTATAAATAGACTACTGTCTTGACTGAAAAGAAAAAGTTAACACCCAGCAGTTCTCTAAAAAGGTTAACTTTAGTATTAATATCAACAACAAACATTGAGAGGAAAGACAATTTGGCATTATTAGTATAGAGAACAAGTACCCCTTCGGGCATGAATACTTACACTGGGAGCATTCCTATAGCCCTTGATACCATGAAAAAGAGAGCCTCCAATGGCTCCCATGGAGAAGGCACCTCCACAATCTTCCATAATCCTCCATGGACTGAAGAGAGAATGATAACAGAAAACGTTTAGAATAAAGGCCAACCACCTCCACCCCTTGACTTTAAATTATTTTTAAAAACAACAAACAAACATTATATGTTTGGCGTTTAGCTCAATTTCTGCTTTTTGCATTCCCAGGATTGACACCACGCTCGCTAGAAAGTGTGGGAACAAAATATCGAGATATTGTCAGTGAATACTTTTTTGATCGTTTTTGTGCTTTTCTCATAAAAATTTCGCAAATTTTTCCACAGAAATTTGTATTCAGTCTAGACATCTAGTCTCTACTCAATTGTTTATGAACCGAATTGGATGAAACTTTGTAGGCCTACACGGGTCTATTATGATGTTGTGCACACTCATACAACAGGATATATTATATTTGATTTGTAAAGTAATTTTTAAGAAAAGGAAGTGGTTAGTTAATAATAAGTGACATTTATATAGTGCTGAACCACGATTTAAGTACACAGTTACACAGGCTCTGAGAGCTTTACAATACAGTACAACGTACAATGTAACAGTAACATAAAACGATGTGTTCTGACTGAAAGAAAATCCCTCCAAATATTCATTTAATTTAAATTTAAAACCAGAAACGACCTCAGCTGACATTTGAATGAATCAAAAGATTTGATCTCTCTTTAAGTACTTGGTAAAGCATTCCAGATCTTGGGGCCTTGGTATACAAACGCCCTTTCACCCATTGTTTTAAGATTCATTGATAGTAAAATAAATTCCTTTTCGTCAGCTGATATGACCTTAAACTGCGAGTTGGAATGTACAGTCTTAACATGTCATGTGAATGTGCTCAAATTCTTGAACTAAATTCGGGGTGAGAATTTACCTGCCTCGCTATTCTCACCCCCTCGTTTTACCGTAAATGACCCTAGAGGGAGCAGGGCTCAGGTTACCAGAACTGATGCTCCACAAGATCATGTGCATTTTCCACTAGTCAATGAAAGTGAAGAAAAGACCATGGACAGCACATTATTTATTTAAACTAGTCACAACTTAGCGCCCTAGCCCATTTGGTCTGAATAATTTACAACCTTTCTACTGTCGTTCAAGAGTATTAGTCTCATGCTCGTGTCTCGTTACGTTTGTGTACACACTCTCTGTTCTTTGAACAATAATTTATTGTGTGCAGGCACAGAGTGAGAGGCCTGCCATCGTTAAGTGTGTAAACAACAAATGGTATCCCGCGCAGTGGTAGTATTAGCGTCTGCATAGTGAGACATTTTTTACTGGAGAGACGAAAAATGTTCTTACAGTATTATTTCTATTTGTTGTTCATTAAAGACTTTTAGCAAAGATCTGGTTAAGATGATCATATATATAATGTTTGAAAATTTTTCCATATATATATATCCAACGTTAATTAAGAGTGCTCCTTCATCTCATGGGATGGAACGCTTCAACTATTACTATTTTTACTGGCCACCTATATTCTCACCCCTGGTGAGAATAGCTCATGATGACCTGCTATTCTCACCCCCACCACGATGTGAGCATGAGGCGAGCCTGTGTTCTTGTTCTTAAAGTTAGGCTAGATTTAGATCTAGATCTATAATTGTGAGGATCCGTAGGAATCAGCTGCGTTCTGCTCTTGACATTTTGTGCTTGCATCATTATATAGACTGTTTTTTTCGTCACTGATTTTTGTTTGTTTTGGTAAATGTTTTTACGGCGCTCGCAACTGCATAAGGTCATATGAGCGCGCGGACACACCTAATATTTTCAGTTGGTAGAAAATTTTTGAATTTTGCCCGGGTGGCGGCCAAAGCCTACTCTTATCGATTTTAGACCACCAAGGGATCTTTAACGTGCGCAACTTGCACACGGGCCCTCCAAGATTTTTCGCCCTTGTCCAAGAAGGCTAGGTGTAGATCTTTCCTACCAGAAGATCAGGGGTGTGGCAGAAAGACAGCAGTTAGGAGGAGCCAAGGAGTAGCAGTAGAAAGGCTGCAGAAAGAGTCAGGAGCCCAGAGGAGGGGGCAAAGGAGGTGAGGGGGTGGTCACTGTTGTTTGCTGTTCATGATGTGAAATGGCCTTCACCAAGCCCATTAAATAAACTAAACCTGAAACTTATCCCTACAAATTAACTTATCCTCTGTGCTGCTCTGTGTGTGTCTTTTCTTTAATAGACTATAGGCCTACTGTATGTTAGCACATACTTAATGACGGCTAGACTGGCAGTCTAGCCATACTTATTCTTAATAGCTGATCGTGGCGTTAGACGCAAGACGCGAAGTCTGTGATATCACCTACTGGTGTTACTCTCAGTACCAGTACCGGAGCCGGTACTGGCGGTTCTCGGCACCTGGTGCCGAGAAAATGCGAACACTGGATTTCGCCGGTACCGCCCACCACTAACACACGGTACCAGTAACTGGAATGTAAACAAATCGATATTTGTCCTGTGCTGTCACTTGCGGAATAAAAAAAGAAAATAAATACAAGAAGCCTCTTGTCGGGCTCCCCATCGTGACCGGTCAGTGAACCTGTTCGTCCGTATCACGTTGTGAGTACCGGTGATCGTTGGGGTCACTTGAAGTCTGTGCGCTGCAAAGTATAGGGCTCCGGAATGGGGAGATTATTGTTTTTAAAAAAAGGTAGAGTTGGGGGAGGGGTGGGGTTGAAGGCAACACCGGTGGACAAAAACTGACTTGAACCAATGGAGTTTCTGATCTGCCCGGTGCCGGTAACCTGACACTGAGACTAGCCTACGTGTCTGTTGCCAGTTACCGCGTACGTAAATATTGAGGCTACTTGCCCCGTTATCGTGTACATGACACTGAAACTACTGTACTTAACTAGACTCTAGACCAACATGCCCGGTTGGTTGCCGGTACGTAAATATTGAGGCTACTTGCCCCGTTATCGTGTACGTGACACTGAAACTACTGTACTTAACTAGATTCTAGACCAACATGCCCGGTTGATTGCCGGTTAGTGTACGTAGATCTAGATTAGATCTAGAGTACCTGGCCCAACCTGCGACCACGTATCGTATTTTGCTTCTCAGCGGTCTCTGTCAGCAAAATAGGTCAGGCAATCCATGTTCAGGGCCGCTTCAGTGTGTCAACTTCCGGTTTATACTGTGATTTCGTCAATCATTTCAAAACGTCATTCGCAGATTTCGCATTTTAACATGTTAGTGCTCTGCCCTTGGCGCGACCATGTGCGCACAGATATGACAGGTGCAAGAAAGTTGTTAGTACACCATTTTTAAAGGTTGGCTGTGTAGTTATTCGCACAGGGTGTGTGAATACTATGGAATTGTATTCGCACAGGGTGTGTGAACACTATGAAATTATATTCGCACAAGGTGTGTGAATACTACAAAACAGTAATGGCACAGGGCGTTTCAAAAGAAGGATGGAAATTTTCTAGATCTAGCATTTCTTCATTTTCCCTTTTTTCATCCTCTTTCGCGTAGGGAAAAAGATCATGGGATAGATCAAGAAATCTAGATCTAATTATTCTAATTGTGCAATGCGATACAAAACCCCCCCCCCCCACCAACTCAAATTGGAATTCAAGTTGTGTATGGTGTCAATGATAATGACTCAAATCTCTCTTTTTTCCTTACTTAAATTGTTTCTTCTGTTTTCTTTGCGGGAGAGAGAGAGAGAGAGAGAGAGAGAGAGAGAGAGAGAGAGAGAGAGAGAGAGAGAGAGAGAGAGAGAGAGAAGAGTGGATGCTTAACTTTAACCCTTAATCTGAAACAAGTTATAATTATACTAGATATCTATAATGTCCAGTTGTTTTAACATTTAAAGCCTTTGTTGCCAAAAGGTGGGATACCCCAGTGTGACAAACGAGGTCCAAAATCAACGTAGGCTCGACCCTGTGCGAATAAAATTAATTCTATGCGCACACCCGGTGTGAATAAAATGAAATCTTATGCGCACACCGGTGTGAATAATCACTTCCTTAAAGGTTAGTAAAATCATTTCTTTATCAAATTATGATGAAAACAATTATCTTTTAATAACAGAGGGCACAGAGACAAGTGGTCGCGGGTTGGGCCAGCTACTCTAGTTTAATAACTGAAGAAAACTTCTCTAAGAATGTATCTGATAAGCCTTTCACTTCGAACTCGACTGGCTGTACTAGCAGACGACTGACGTTCTCGGAAAAGGATTGACCAAAAGTGGAACTAGACAAGGCATGTAACTCCAATAAAACAGATTGCACACACAAGCTGCACAGAAGGCGAAGGAAAAATGGGGAACTGGTCGCACTCAGGGCAGGTTAGTATATAGAACTAGATCTAGATCTAGGGAAGATTGAAGAATACCGGACCACTCGTACATTATTGCGCGAGAAAGTGGGGTAGGTGGGGCGGGTGGTTTGGATGGAGGAGGGTTCAGGGGGGTCTCCCCCCTGACAAAATTTTAATGAATAGATATAGATCTATACCGATCTGAGATTCTCCATTGAGAGATGTTAAAAAACGGGAAAAATTATGAATTTGTAAGGTTGAGACATAGGCAAAGTCAGTCCGCTGGTCCGGTATTCTTCAATCTTACCTAGATTGAATCTAGATTGAGGCTACGTAACATTAAACATGCCCTCTGGTATTGTAGGCCTACGTGACACTGAGACAACCGTAATGTGCCTTGACGATTACCGTGTACATGATGACACTGTGACTGTGACTAGATTTTTATCTAGATTTTCTAGATGTAGAATCTAGATCTAGAGCCTATGTACGGCATACCGTCACCTTAGTGTTCTGAGATGACTATTTCCGGAAGTGAACTTTTGTATTTCCATAACTTCGGCTCTTTCAAAAACATCGACCCAAAATTTCGTTTTGTTGAGAGGCCAGCCTTTCCTGTAGGTGTGGGGTGAAGTTTTTAGTCAGATAGTGTATAAAGAAGACCCCTAACCGAGACTTGACGCATGTCATGACATGTACCCCATACCGTCATGTGTCGGGTTTTCTGTCATGGTATGTACCCCATACCATCACCCCCAAATTGAAGCACAACTAGGCGTTTGAAAAGAGGAAAGAAGCAAAGACGAACTCCTTTTGTACAGTGGGCCTAAGACAGAACTAATGTTTATATTGACATACTAAAAAGAACAACCACCAGAACAGACTCACATACATCTTACTCACACATAGATCTAGATCTAGGTACATGAATGTTTCATTTTACTCTTCCACACATATATCACAAACTCATATGAACATGATCTTCCTCACACACAAGTACATGAATGCTTCATTTTACGCTTCCCCACATATATCACAACAAACTCACTTGAACCAGATCTGTTTAAAATCGCTCTTGTAAAACCTTTGCTAAAGAAGCAAAACTTACATCAGAATGTCTTAAAGAACTATAGACCTGTTTCAAATCTACCTTTTTTGTCTAAAATCCTTGAAAAGGTTGTCCTCGAGCAGCTTCGTCATCATTACAAGAAAACAATCTGTTAGAGCCATTCCAGTCTGCCTATCGAGCTAACCACAGCACAGAAACAGCACTTCTTGAAGTCATGAATCGACATGCTTACTGATTGTGATTCAGGAAAAGTTGTTTTGCTGAGCCTTTTAGATCTATCAGCAGCTTTTGATACAATTGACCATCACATTTTATTGAAGCGATTGGAAGTGTCTTTTGGATAATCCGGGACTGCCCTTAGCCTTATCTGGTTTTCTTCTTACCTGTCAAATCGTTACCAATCTGTTTTTATTAAAGGGCTTATTAAGTCATCAGATCATGCTCTTAAGTATGGGGTCCCCCAGGGCTCAGTCCTCGGTCCAGTTTTGTTCACCATTTATACTCAACCACTTGTGAAGGAAATAGTTAAATATGACTTAAAATACCATTTCTATGCTGATGATACCCAAAGTTATGGTTCAACATTGTTTACCAACTTAGATGAACTTGTCCATCGTGCTGAAAATTGTATTGCCTTAGTGAAAAACTGGATGAACAAAAATAAATTGATGTTAAATGATAATAAAACAGAAGTCATTCTGGCAGGCAATGCAAAGTCTGTTAAAGAGGTTGACCATGATCACATTATAATTGGTAATGCAAAAATTTTATTTTCAAGAAAAGTTAAGAATCTTGGCATCTATTTTGATTCTAGTTTGTCAATGTCGGCTGAGGTAAATCATCTGATCAGCTGCATGTATTTAGAAATAAGAAAAATTAGTAAAATACGTCATCTGATCAATACCAAGTATACTGCTTTACTAGTAACTAGCTTAATTTTATCTAAACTCGGTATATAAATTGTAACTCCTTGTTATCAGATATCACTGGAGAAAGTTAAAAGACTTCAAACTGTCCAAAACAATGCAGCACGTTTAGTTTTATGGAAAAGAAAGCGAGACTCTGCTAAACCTCTTTTACGAACATTGCATTGGCTTCCTGTTGAGAAAAGGATTGTGTACAAGTTGGCCACCATATGTCACAAATGTTTGAATGATAATGCACCATCATATTTATCAAATCTGTTAAGACTGTACATTCCAACTCGCAGTTTAAGGTCATTTTCAGCTGACAAAAAGAAATTTATTTTACCTTCTGTGAAACTTAAAACAATGGGTGAAAAGGCATTTGAATACCAAGGCCCCAAGATCTGGAATGCTTTACCAAGTACGTTGAGAGAAATCAAATCTTTTGATTCATTCAAATGTCAGCTGAAGTCGTTTCTGTTTTTAAATTAATAAGATGAATATTTGGAATAATTTTCTTTAGTCAGAACACAACGTTTCATGTTACTGTTGTATGTTGTACTGTATTGTAAAGCGCTCAGAGCCTGTGTACTTTATTAGGGGTTGAGCGCTATATAAATATCATTTATTATTATTATTATTATTAACATCTTTTACTCACACACAAGTACTTGAATGCTTCATTTTACTCTTCCACATGTAGGCCTATCACAACAAACTCACATGAACATCTTACTCGCATACATAGGCCTACATGAATTTCCCTGTTGTTTCTTCTTCTTATTCCCTGCTCTCTGCTTCTCCAACTTCCTTAACTTTTCTCCTCTTTTCTCTTCTTCCTTCTCCCCCCTTTTCTCTTCCTCTTTTCCACTTCTTCCTTTTTCTTTTCTTCTTCCAATTTCTTCGCCTCCTCCCATGCTTTGTACTTTGCCCGTAAGACATGTATGTAGGGGCCTTAGCCCGCTTCTCTGTGTTGAAACCTTAGATAGTTCCAGCTTGCTGGTATGGGCAGGTTGACGAACGAGGGGGAAGGAATGAGTTGATTTTACAAATCAAGGTATTTTCTGTATGCCCCCTCGTTCTCCTTAGGTTCGATTTTGTGCCAATGGCAACGGCGGACCCAATGCATGTCTGATGCCATCCATCCAGTGGCAATGGCGTGATCAATTAGACTGTCAAGGACACAGCAAAAGTGTTGTCCTGAGGCAGTTTTTGGGGGGCTTGGGGTGTCACCAGAGTTTCATCTTCCAATGGTCTCAATGCCTGCTCAGGTAGACAATAGACATAGTCCTGGTTAATCACAGGATCCCAAGCTGGTGTTGAAACCAAAGGTAGCTGAAACTCTGCTGCAGGATCCAGGAAGTCCTCGGAGGTACATTCGATCCCCGAGAATTCCAGACCTGTGGTCGAAAAGTCTAAGGCATCAACTGACCACTCACAACTAGAGACAAGGGCAGTTAGGGGAGGGCCAGCAAGTTTTTCTTCTGAAACTGAAGCAGTAGGAGCAGGAACAATATCACAACATGTGGAAACAGTGGCTGGAAGAACATCATCACAACATGTGTATACATTGGACAGAGGAACATCATCATTACATACAACGGGATAGAGTTTCCTTCATATAAATTTGTTTCAAACATTAAAAAAGAAAAATCTAAAGTCGCTCATTTTCTAATGAATCCGTGTCTAAATAGATCTATCTAGATCTAGATCTATATAAAATCATAGAAACTAAAAAATCTAAAGTACTAAGATGCCATCCATAGTCCGTCAAGAAATAGGGTGACCTTATTTAGGCCTAAATAAGCTAAACCCCCCCTCCCTTACCTTATTTAGGCCACCTGTGGCCTAAATAAGCTAAACCCCCCCTCCCTTACCTTATTTAGGCCATATGTGGCCTAAATAAGCACTCCCCAAGAAATAACTATTTTTCAAGTCACGCTGCATGTAAAAAATACGGTGACTGTATGGGGTACATCCATCAAAAAATTGTACCCCATATCGTCACCCCCCCTACGGGCGCCAATTGTTACAACAAAGAGCAGCGAATGGTTTGTGGTGGTAACTAGACACCTTATAAACTGAATAAAAATGCGAAACGAATCCTGCGGGTACGATTGTAGAACCAATAGCTTATTTCTCAAGATGTATTGCACATCTGCAAGCCGTAATGGCTGAACGCGGTTCTTACATTTGGAGATGAAATGGATTATTTCTGCTCACACAGGTGTCTGATTCTGCTCAAAATTGTTGAACTTGAAAACAAAACAATGTTGAACGGAATTGTTTAGCAGACAGCATTCCAGATTATCGCATAATTGTCTGGTTGTCCAATTTTAGGCCGAATGCGTGCCAACTGACAGTATGACGTACGTGACGGTATGCCGTACATAGGCTATAGATCTAGAATATAGATCTAGAATCTAGATCTAGATCTAGATCTAGATCTAGGTGCCCAGTTACCGTGTAGACTACGTAGACATTCCTTTCCGTATTCCCTCACCCCTAGCTTTTAGGCCTTTCACTAGACTAGTCTAGACAATAGATTCTAGATCTAGAAAAATCTACATTATAATGAATGAACGTTTAGTCGAGAGAAAGTGATGAAACATTGCCTGGCTACGCTACAGGCTACATTGAGTGACTGAGTGACATCGAAACTTTACATTGTCATCAAACACCGGACCACCAGTACTACTTTTCAAATAGAAACTGACATTTGTACCTGATATATGAAAGACATTTAAAATGAAAGACGTTAGTGTGAAGGGGGAGTAATGATTACCATGGTTCACGTGCGTAGTCCTCCATGACCTACTGTGTACAGAGATGCCCTAAAATTACAAAAGAACGACCTCTCCAATGGAACCATGCACCTCTCCTTGACCCAAAGTCAACTACTACTTCCGGTTCAGGTTCAACTGCTGCTCTTTTGTTAAAGAAAACTCAAGATGATGTAATATTTTACCTTCTTTGACCGAAAAAAAGAGCTATACAAAAAGGCGGACAGTTCTTTTTGGCATCTTTAGTTTTCAGAAACATGCATTTTAAATAAATTAAAAACTAATACGCTTGTAGTCTTTTCTGGCTCACTCCCCTCCAATAGCGCAACATTCATGGACATTTTATTTATTAGCCTATTTTATTTCGAGTACATTAGGCTATCAGGCAGGTGTCACGCTATAAGTCGACAGAGGTCTGCCATTCGTCAGTGGAACATTATTATTTTTGCCTGGCAGCTTTACGAAGAAGTTAACTGGCAATCTGGCAACTCAAATCTAGTCCGTGGAAATTGTTTTTGTAATGATCTACATAGCAGTAACACAGTCGGCAGTATTCACTCATTGCGCATTCATTCAGCTTTCAGCATGCAATGCATGCAGCTCAACAGTTTTTTGCACGGGACGCTGGTGGACACTTGTTTCTAATAACAACACAAAATAAAATACGTAGGCTACTGTGGCGCGTGTACACATGGTACACCGCTCTTTTGAGTTAATTTTAACATTTTTGTCGCCATCATGAGTGGAAAGCTAGCTCCAAGCAAAAGCACTGTTTATGTTTCCAATTTGCCGTTTTCATTGACGAATAATGATCTTCACAAAATATTTGAAAAGTATGGGAAAGTTGTGAAGTAAGTCTTTTGAGTAAAGGAGTGTCTACGTAACGTTTACCGGGCGCGTAGCCTCAGGGTCTAGATGTACACGGTAACCGGGCTCATAGCCTCAGACGCCTCAGTCTGGCCTCAGTAAGTAAGTGTCTACGTACACGGTAACCGGATACGCTAGCCTCAGTTCAGTCTCAGTGTCTAGTATAGTATACATATGATAACCGGGCATGTTATCTCAATGTCACATACACGGTAACCGGGCGCGTAGCCTCCGGGCGCCTCTCATTATGATATATCTACGAACACGGTAACCGGGAATTTTGTTTCGTGGGGGGGGGGGGGGGGGGGTTGAGCTAGGTGCACGGTAACTGCTTCGCTCTCGTCATGACATGAGCTTGACCTTTTTCACTCCGCTTTTTGTGTGTTGTGAGTGGAATGTAATCCCCAAAATGATCCCAATCTACCCCCTGTCATCTTTCCTAAGGGAGGGCAAAATGCAGTGACACTGAAAATCTGCGAATCTGGAACAGAAAGCTAAAATATAGATCTAGAGTAGATCCTGGGGTGCGATATACCATAAGCGATCTTTTGTTGATATCTCCGGAAGTTACTGGTGGATCTTCATGATTTTTTCACCAGCCAGAAGAGTTAAAAAAACCTCCTCTATACGGTGTAGCTATCATACAAAACCCAGCAGTTTAAAATTCCTATGTTGTGGTGGTGTTTGTTTGGTACCGTGTGTCTGGTTTGGTGCGCAAGGTTTCTGTTTGGGTGCAACATATCGTCTGGTTGAGTGCGCAATAGTACCATGTATACGGTTTGGTGGATTAACAAAGAAGAAATATGGACCAATTCAGACTAGTTTTCACCTTGGTGAATACATTTTGTAATAATATAGGACAAATGTCATAAAACAATATTAAAATTAATGCTAAATCAAAGCCACACACACACAAACACATCTATCATATTAGGCAGTGACATACACAACATAGAGTCAACTCACATAAATACAGCTGGCTTCCTGTTTACATGAAATAAAAAGTATCCATTGTCTCAGTTTCCACGAACTCCACCAACACAGTTTTTACAATAAAAGTCTTCATTCATAGTAGCATCGGATGGCAAGCCGGAGCAGGTAAAGTGAAACCAGGCATCACACAGGTCACACTGAATCCATCTGCTGTCACCTTCCTCCTTGTTGCACTGCTTGCATCTGCTCTCCTCAACACCAAGTTCCACATCATCATCACTTTCCAAAACCATGCCTTCTTCTTCTTCTTCACTGCTACTTTCCCTTCCTCTCTTTTTATTACTATTTAGCAGTCGCTCCAACTGCTTCCTCTCCTGTGTTTCCTTTTTCTCTTGTATCTTTCTCTCTCGCTCAACTCTAGCTTTTTCCTGACGCTCCTTCTTCTCTTGCTCTTTTCTTGCTTTTGCTTCCTCTCGATCTTTCTTCCTTCTCTCTTTCATCTCTTTCTCCATCCTGGCCTTGTCTTCCTTTCCTTGTAAGAAGTTCCTGTACTGATCTGAACTGAAGGCCATGGTCAATGAGGAGTTCTTTTTGGAAGCTGTGCCCCTCTTGTTCTTTGGGAGTTGGGGTGGGGCAAACAGGTCATCCAAGCTTTTGCGTCTGGAGGGAACAGATGAGGCTGGGATGCCCTGGTCTTGAACCTCGAGTACACCTGCTGCCACCAGTGTCCTCTGAAATTCTTGAAATTCTTTGTCCTCTGACGTCTTTCTTTCCTTCAGCATATCCAGGTAGCTTTCACATCTGATGATGCCTAACATGGAGGACAGGCGCAGAAGGGAACTGACGGCATCGAGCTTGGTTGTAGCCACCTGAGGGAGGGCAGTAGCTGCAGAGGTGGCTTGGGATGTTGACTGTGCTAGTGGTAGAGGAGTGGCTTGGGTAGCTGGTTGTGGTTGGAGAGTAGGTACTGGAGATGGAGTCGCTGGTGCTAGAGATGGAAGAGCAGCAAGAGGTGTCGGTGATGCTGCTGGTGGTGGTGGAGTCGCTGCTGGTGGAGGTGGAGTCGCTGCTGGTGGTGGTGGAGTCGCTGCTGGTGGAGGTGGAGTCGTTGCTGGTGGAGGTGGAGAGGCCCGTGGTATTAGTGAAAAGTATTTGTGCAGTCCTGAAGTGGATGCTGATGACAATGAAGGGGTTGTTGACGGTGGAGGCAAGGCTCTTGGTGGTGTTTGAGTTTGTTGAGGGATATCAGGAGTTGCTGAGGTACCTTCAGGGCTGGAGAAGAAACTCCTACTGGCCTCCATTTTGCCACTTGTCAGAGGGCTCTCTGGGTTAAAAGGAAAGATGCCTGAACGTCTGAAACCTTTCAGGCTGGCTTCTGGCCTGGCACAATGCTCCCACACTTTTTTCAACAGGTGCGAAAAATTGGCCGCTGATGGCGTCTCCCCTGTCTCCTCCAGGTGCTGCTTCACCACCACCGACCATCTTGCCTTCATGGAACCGAATACCGATAGGTCTAGAGGCTGAATTATGTGAGAGGCATGAGGAAGAAGGCCATAGAGTATGATGCCATGTTCCTCACACATCTCGAGCGTGCCAATGTCACTGTTGTGACTTGTGTGTCCATCGACGAAAAGGACGACTGGCTTTGGCTTTTCCGCGATGAATGGTATAAATACATCCTTTATGAAGGTGTGGAAGATGGTAACGTTCACCCATCCATTGCTTGATAGCTGCATGAACGCGTCCTTGAAGCCAGCAAGGAAGTTGGCTGAGGGCATTCTTTTCCTCGGAAAAACCAGCAGGGGATTCACGTATTCCCCAGCAGCTGATGCACATGCCAACACTGTTATCTGATTCTTCGTGTTATTGCAGATGTTATACACATGCTTCATGCCATGAAACCAGTCTCATCTGCATTGAAGATTCTATCTGGGCTTTTGAGGAGGGCTGGGTCTCGAGAGTCGAGATATTTCTTCATTTCGGAGAACCAGTCCCTAATGTCCTTCTCCTGCACTAGGGCTCGCTCCTTGCCAAGAGCTTGAGGGGATCGGAGGCTAAGTCCTGGGTGACGTTTTTTGAAGTTGGTCACCCAGTCCTTACCAGGAAGGCCATCTTCTCTCCTTACTGACGCTCCTCGCAGGTCTAATATTTCCTTCACCTTTTGCCGCACGTCTTCGTGGGTGCGCCCCATTGACCGTTGGGCATGAACTTTGATCCACATGACCAATCTCTCCTCCTCCTCGTCAGTGAGCAGCTTATGAACTTGAGGCTTGACGGCCCTTCTCCCCCGCACCTTGTCACCCAAAGTGGAGAGGGGGATTTTAAACGTTTTTGAAGCACCATATAGTGTCATACTCTTGGACCGGACCAGCTTCACTGCTTCCTCTATTATTTCTTGAGAGTAATTTTTATTTGGTTGGGCCATATTCAGTGGTTTATGGGAGATTTCCTTACACTGTGTTGTTTTGATAATTGATAAGAAAGAAAAGGTGCTGTGGACACAAGAAGGGGAAAGAAGAAAACAAGAATTAGACTAGACCAAGAATAGTATTCTTAAACTTAAAGGAAAAGAACAAAAAAGAAAAAGAAGAAGACGTGAAAAGAAGAAATTGGTCATTTTGGGGATTAAATGACAACCATGTCCATATCCCATTTCCATATATATTGATTAATTTTGACATTAATACATTCTGATCATCTTCCATTGGCAATATAAAGCATCCAAAAGGAAAGAAAACAGTCTGTTTCAGTGCGCAACGCAGGTCCTAAAGAAATAAGTGAAACAACTAAGGCTACAAGAAGCCACACTGTCAATGCCAAATGTCAAAAGCCGATATTGCGCACCAAAACGGACGGGGCAAATTTGGTCCGCTTCAGTGCGCAACCCCATCGGGCATGTTCCAGGCATTCAGAAGCAGCCTGCGATCGTTTGGGCTCGATTTTAGTGTACATTCTACGATACATAAGAGCTAGATTAACCAGAAGAGCTAAATAATCGACCACTCAAGCGCTTAGTAATTCACCGACTCCGATTACGAAAACAATCAATATGAAGGGGCAAAACTTACTGACACCGTAGAATCACGTGTGTAGACAGGAACCTCCAAAACGAAAGTGCAATTTAGTTGTTACTGCGCATGCTCACATAAAGTAACCTCGTTTTCGCTGTTCTTATCCAAAACAAAGCAGGAGACCGGGGGTTGCGCACCCAACAAGGTGCGCGGTGATGCGGTTTGACTCTAGATCTAGATCTAGATCTAGATTTAGATGTTTACAATACGTAATACTATCATGAGAGAGAGAGAACGAGACTCAGAAAACAGAGAGAGGGAGAGAAAGAGCGAGAGAGAATTTTAAAAAGTATGCACTTTTGATGAGGTCGTACACTTCTCTCTTAAAACAAAGGACAATGAAACAAACGTACTATCACCCATCCAATGAAACGCGGACCTTTTGGTTAAAAAACACGGCTTCCTAAGTATGAGTATGACGGATCCCAATTCCACTCAGGGCTTGCACCAATGCACTGTTTTCTTAGCAGGAAGCTCTAGTAGCAATAATCAAAATTTTAAATACTAAAATTTGCTTCCAAGTTCAGTTTTTATCATCCGGTGTTGCCTTCAACCCCACCCTTCCTCCCGACTGTACCTTTAAAAAAACGAAGTGATTAATTCGGACTCGAGTCCGAATATGAAAAAATGTTATTCGGACTCTGATTCTTGTCCAGCATGACATCACTTCCAACTTCCTGTGACTCGTGACTCCGGCTTCCTATCCTGCCTCACTCGTGACTCGCCTCAGGCTGGGTAGAGAACGGGATCACTTCAGGCAAAAAGGCGTTTTGTGCAGGAGCCGAGTTTTAATCTTATGATGAATTTGAGGCCGGCCTGAAAAGTTATAGCGCTTCTAATAAATGTTTATTTGTCAAGAGGTCATCAGAAGCAATTAAAGATGGCTCGTTAGCGTGTGTCGGTGTCGGATGGGCGGCCTGCACACGTGTGTCTGTGTGCGTGTCGGGGAGGGGGGTGGGGCACTATCGGTCCGGGCGTTGAACGTCGCATACGCGTCAGTCTTTTTCCCCCCGGCAACTGATCATTATTACAATAATAAGCTAGTCTTGACGTAGATCTACGTACTGAATTGTGCGTGGTCTATGGAATCAAAAGTTGCCGTATGCTCAGCTCTACACAGCAACACAACTTTTTCTGGATAAACAGCTCATAATATGCAGGTGCCAGGTGGTCTGCTAATCTTCAATTTCACCTTTTTCTACAACAAAGAAAGTGGGAAACGTGGGGGGGGGCGTATCAATGAGGCGGCGGGCATCGGATCGGCAGAAAAGGTGTGGGGGGGGGGGGGACTAAAAAATGTCGGAAAATTGGAAGCACTGAACGTTAGAACTATATATAGAAAGAAGACACTTCCTTTTTTCCGGACCCGAGTCCGAATGACATTTTTTCATATTCGGACTCGAGTCCGAATAAGAATTTTTTTTGTTCGGACTCGAGTCCGAATATGCGGCCTTAAAAAAAAAAATCAATAATACCCCCATTCTGGAGCCCTATACTTCGCGCAGCGCACACTTTGAATGAACTTTGGTGACCCCAACGATCACTGGCACTCACAATGTGATGCGAAGGTAGGCTACAGGTTCACTGACCGGTCACGGTGGCGAGCCCGACAAGACGCTTGTATAACTTTCTTTTTTTTCCGCAAGTGAAAGCACAGGACAATGATTTATTTTCATGGCGACACAACGTTTGTAATGCACAACCTGTACGTTACAAATGTTGCGTTAATCAGACTGCTACCGGCAAATTTCTGGGTGGTAGCGAAAGTAGATCGAGCTTCAGTACCACGCATACACTTACGCTTGCCGCCAAAGCGCCCTGTTCATACCTAAAACTATCTTTTGTTTTCATAAGAGTTAGCACTTGCAACGCAATAAGTTCATGTAAGTGCCGAAGATTAGAGTTGTTAGTGAACACGTTACAAGAGAGTAACAAACACAAAAAGAAGGAAGAGAAAGATAAGGATGATAGATGTTGAATAGGAGAGAAGGAACAGACCACACCAGAGGACCCACCAACCACCCACTAATACTATCTTTACACACACCACACTTACCATCACACTCAAAAATACATAAACACAGAGAAAGAGAGAGAGAGACACACACACACACACACACACACATCATGCACACGTGTGAATAGCCTCTCTATATATAAATTAATACACATAGCATGTTACACACACACGAATCACACAACATACACATTGGATAAAACGATATGAGGATAGCTTTATTGGTTGAGTTTGTCAGAAGTAGACTTGACTATGACTTTGCACATATATATGTAGTTATATTATATACAGTCCATGCCGGCTTTAAGCACGGTCGTCGGGAGAAAGCTTTGCGTGCTTAAAGCCGAAGCGTGCTTGAGTGCGAAGTAGATATAATCCAGAGATTTTCATGTAGAAAATTTCATGTGCTATTTCCCTTTGTTTGTAAGTAGGCCTATAGCGGTCCCGCAAAAGTGTGCACTGTTATATTTAGACACCCGCCATGGTAGTTTTTGTTCGCTTGTTTGTTTTTGTTTTGTGGTCGAATGGGAAATGCAAACTTATTTTAGATGGCCAGTCACGATACAGCTCACTAGGCCTACACACTGCCTGTGCGTACCACTGCCCGCTGTGCCACTCATACTTCATACCACCGCCTTCATCCCACCTCATGCGTGATACACAATCAGGATTAATGGATAGCGAGGGTCAAAGGTGAAATCGCAGCCAGCCTCCCTTTCTCATCTCCCTGACTCTCTTTGTATTTTTTTTTGGTCGTGTGTAGCTTTGCCCTAGGCCTAGGCTAGATCCTATGTCCGCGTGCGCGGCTGTGTGCATCTGCCTTCCTCTCCGCCCGTGTAAGTGTGTGTGTCCATCACTACTTGACTTTTTTGTGTTTCTCTTGACACACTCCACTGCTGCGGTGTAGACTGTGTTCGAACTTCAATGGGTCATCATGAAAATATTGACTGTCTTGTAAATGAAGCGTGCTTGAAGCCGAAGTAACCGTGCTTAAAGGCGTGTAATTTATTTATAGCAAAAATTCTGAAAGAGCCGTTTAGCGTGCTTGAGTCCGAAACGTGCTTTAAGCCGGCGTGCTTAAAGCCGGCACGGACTGTATAAACAAAGATCTCCATAGCCTCACAACGATATTCTCTCTGTCTCTAAACACACACAAACCACACAATCAACATACTCATTGGATTTAAAACAATTATGAAAGCTAAAAGAGCAAATAAAAAATGAATGACCCAGGACATATTAAAACTAATGGAAGAGAGAAGACAGTCAAAATCAAACATGGAAAAGTACATCTTTAGGGGGTATAGCAATGGTCAACACCCAAAGGCTATATAGTATTTGGTCTAATGCTTGCTTTTCTGCACCAAAGGGTGTGACATAGTACAAAACAAGGTAGCAAAAAATTCAAGTTTTTAGCTATAATAATCATGAGCCCGGTTACCGTGTGTGTGACATTGAGACTACACGCCCGGTACCAGGTTACCGTGTACGTAGATATTGAGGCTACGCGCCCGGTTACCGTGTGTATGACATTGAGACTACACGCCCGGTTACCGTGTAAGTAGATATTGAGGCTATGCGCCTGGTTACCGTGTATGTGACATTGAGACTACACGCCCGGTACCCGGTTACCGTGTACGTAGACACTGAGGCTATGTGCCCGGTTACTGTGTACGTAGACCCTGAGGCTACGCGCCCGGTTACCGTGTACGTAGACACTCCGTTTAAGTAAATAAGTAAACACTTCTCGTCTCTCGCCTTTGCCTTTTTTGTGTTTGATTTAAATAGGTTAATGTCTAAGTAAATCAATTAGCCTTCCAGATCTTAGGGCACTCTCTAACTCCATAGGCCATAGAAATTTGGCTGTAGTTATTCGATGGAATTGACCTCGCAAGGGGGATGCCCGCCTCGTCATCTGATCGTGATTAGAAAAATAGTGATGATTTTGCGTAGCGTGCGGCTTCTTCTTCTTCTCAGTTTACGTAGTGTTCAGCATCAGAATCAATCTGGGCGGAAGAAAGGTGCTGTACAATCACAGACAACCAAACTGAACAGTTTTGCAAGTTAAAAAAAAACTGGCTGTATGAGAGCTCAGTGACGATGTCTCTTCCCCTTTGAGACTTCTTAAGGAGTAACTGTCACTGTTCATCTTTTTCACAGGATAACGATTTTAAGAGACAAGCATACAAGAGAGAGCAAAGGAGTGGCATTTGTTCTCTTCTTGGACAGAGATGGAGCACACACAGCTGTCAGAGCTCTTAATAAAACAAAGGTTTGTGATTGTTGTTATAAAAAGTAAAAGATGTATTTTTGAAAGATAAATTATTTTTTAGCTAGAGCAGCTAGAAAAAAAAAAAGGCACATATGAGGACTGGTGACACTAGCCTTTGGTTAGGCAGTCTGTTAAACACCTTAAAATGTTGCAGGTTTGTTTCCCATTATGGGCAAAGAGGTTGTTTTTTTTTTGCCTCGGAAAAGACTCATTACAATAATTTTTCTTACACTGATATATTAAGATAAGATAAGATAAGATAAATCTTTATTGTCCAGATCCTGGCACATTTGTATGGTGTTCCACCACGAGTACACACACACACACGCACACACTCTCACACACACACACACAAACACACACACGTACACACGTGCACACACATGCACACACAAGTAGGTTTACAATCACATGCATAATATTATAAATGAGCAGCAATATAAACAAAGATAATGGTAAGCTAGATACACACTCAATGTTATTTTGATGCATGCTCTAAGGTCGTAAGTATACTTATACAAGATGGTTAAGATGGAAGCATTTTGATAGATGATGGTAAAAATGACCTTCTGTATCTTTCTTTGTTACAGACCAGAAGCATGGGTCTTTTACTTCTGACTGATGTTTTTATTTGAGGGAACAAGGGATGTTTGTTGTCTAAAAAGATGGAATTAATTTTCTTAGTGCAAGCTGTTATGTACAATTCATCCAAGTAGGGGAATGAAGATGTTGAAATTTTACATGCTTGCCGTATTAGTCGATTTAATTTTATCTTGTTGTCTTGTGTTCCCGGCCCATGCTGTTATACAAAAGTTGATCATACTTTCTATGGTTGAATGGTAGAACATGGACATCAATGTTTTATCAACTTTAAAATATTTTAGCTTTCTTAGAAAAAGTCTTTTGTTCACTTTTTTATGCAGGAGAGAAGTGTGGACACCCCAGTTGAGTTTGTTGTCTATTGTAACACCCAAATACTTATAGTCTGACACTTGCTCGATGTTTTCACATTTCATTTTGAGTGGCTGCAGGGGCAGTTTCTTTATTCTAAAATCAACGACAAGTTCTTTTGTTTTTTTCACATTTAAAAGCAGCTTATGATTTTCACACCATTCAGAAAAATTAAGTACAAAATTCCGGTAAGCGGTTTCGTTATGGTCAGCCTGAATTAGCCCAATTATAGTTGAATCATCTGCAAATTTTATCAACTTGATGTTACTGTTGTTTATTCGGCAATCGTTCGTGTATAGTGTGAATAAAACTGGTGACAAAACACATCCTTGAGGGGCCCCTGTATTTGTTGTGATGTATGTCGATGAAGAATGTTTTAATTTTACATACTGGGTTTGGTTGGTAAGAAAATTGCCTATCCATGATACTAAATTGACGTTAACACCTATGTTTTCTAATTTCTTTAAAAGGATAGCTGGCTGGATAGTATTAAAGGCTGACGAAAAATCAACAAACAGGATCCTACAGTATGTTTTAGGCTTGTCTAAGTGTCTATATATGTTGTCAAGAAATAGTAAAATGGCGTCTTCCACACTTCTCCCGTGACGATATGCAAATTGTAGAGGGTCCTGGATGGGTTCTATGTACGTTCGTAGTCTTTTTAGCACAATTTTTTCTAGACATTTTATAACTACCGATGTTAAGGCTATTGGCCTCAGGTCATTCATTTCAGTAATTTTTTCTTTCTCACATTCACACGTCCAAACACACATCTAGCTGGGCCCCCTTTCGATGAAAGGAATGATCGGTGCATTAACATCAATTGAACGTCATTGGCCTACTCTATTTACACTCTACTTGAATGGAGCAATAAATCTTGAGAGATGCCAAAAATTAGAAGGTCTAGATCTAGATCTATACTCTCAAAACAAAATGCGCCTCGCAAAATATCACTTCCGCACCGGATTTTCTAAAATTGCAGAGACAGAAGCGTCGGCCTACAAAAACGATCGGCGAAACAAAGAAATTTAGCTTTTTCCAGCAAAACTGTCTGAAAACTGAAAAAACGAAGGGCGTCATGATCTGGAGAATATGTTAAAGAATCTTTTGGCGAAAACCGCATGTCGATTGATGCAGCCATTAAAAAGCCTTTTGAATAGCAAAATTCGGCCACCACAAATAGATAATAGATTTGGAACTACCATCCCCTCCTTAGGCTTTCATTCTCTTATTAAAAATTTCACTTCACTTCCTTGCCCTTTCATTTTCAAAATTGCATTGTAGTAAGTTAGGCGAATGTAACTGAGGGGTGTCTATGCAAGATTATTTGTGCTACATTGCCCTTTGTTCAATTTGTAATGAAATAAGGCTTCCATGGTAGCAATTTAAGGAATATTTGTGTGACGATGCTGTTGTTAAGTGGACATGTAAGTTGGTGAGGAAGACTGACTGAGTGAGAAGGGACTGAGATAACACTGAGTTAGAAGTTGCATATTTAGTTTTAGGGTTGAATTGAAGACATTACGTTTTTTTTTTTCCAGATGTTTGAGAGGACCATCTCATGTAGCATAGCCAAAGACAATGGACGGGCTCCTGAATTCATTCGCCGTAGAGAATATCTTGACAAATCTAGATGTTATGAGTGTGGAGTAAGTATAATGGTCATGCTCAGCTGCATATTATTTATCATTATTGGTCCTAGTTTGTGAACTTTTGCACCATCCCAATACCTAGTAGTGAAAGATGCGTATGGGCTACCAGGAAATATTTGTGACTATATGTGAGGTAGCGTGGTGGAATCAGGCTCTCGTCAAAATAATGAAATCGAAGAAAACAGCAGTTTTCTCCCTGCTTTGCAATTTTTATCAAATTTTTATTTTTTGGCTCAACACCTTTATGTCCATTTACAAACACATTCCTTTGAGGATTTCACCCAAAACGTTGATTAAAGGCACAAAAATATACATTTTCAGTTTCCATGGACTCTTTGGAATTTATCAAGCTTTGGCGGCCATTTTCTCGCTAATTTTACCTCTTAAACCAGGTGACCCCCACCTCCTTCAATCTAAAATATCTCCATTGCTATTGAAGATGGATGGGTAATTTTTTCATTGAAAGCAAGGCAAATGAACAAGCTTTAAGATGATGCCATTAACTCAATACTCCCAAAAATTGACGAGAGCCAGTTTCCACCACGCTGCCTCACATATTTTCTTCTCTGTATTGGGTTACTTGTTCTTCTAATAAAAAAGAAGCAGGTTTTAGCTGTGTTATGATTGGTATCATGATGCTTTGTAGTTAGTCTGACTTGGACACAGGTTGCCGACAAAGCATATGCAAAGCAGATCCCAAAAGTAAAATTTTGAGTGTGCCCATTTACTTTTTTTTAAAGTCCGATTTTTAAAATTTTTTTTTTTGGGGGGGGGGGATCAGAACATCCATGCAGAGAACGGAGGTGTAATTAGGACTATAACTATAAATTGTTCTTCTCTTGTAAAGCTGATTTTGTGGTCTCCGTCTAAGAACATACCACATAAATACCGGGTCTATCCATGAGCCTGCTTTCATGGTGCAACAGTTTTTTCTCTGTATTTTAATTCTCAAAATTAAAAAACGGTTAAAAAAAATAATGCTTGAACTTTTCTAGTTTTCAGCATTTTAAAATACAACAATAGTTGTACTAAAAGTACTAAGTCCTTCTCCAAGGCAGGGAAATGTATACAAGAATGTAATGTAATGTTGTCCAATAAGAGAAATGAAGCAGTTCCTTATCCTTGATACAATAGAAGTACCGGTAATTAGTTACATTCATTACATTACAAAGCTGAAATAATGTTAGAGATGCAGATAAATTGTTTTGTCCAGTTACTGGTATACTTTTCTTTTTTTTTTAAATCAGGAGGAGGGCCACTTAAGTTACAAATGTCCAAAAAACTTGCTAGGGGAAAGAGAACCTCCCCCCAAAAAGAAGAAAAAGAGAAAACATCAGGATGATGAGCAGGACGCGAACAGGTAAGAGGGAATGAGCTGGAGTATTGAAGGGTGTGTAATGTTTTAACTTAACACGAGCTGGCTATGTATAACCATCAGTTTTAATTCTGATTTTTTCATGATGTGAGCTTTCCTACCATGCTGTGACATGTTCTGGAAATAGTAAAGGTTTTGGTTATTAATATTATTTTGATTGATACCACCCCCGAAACAACTTCTCTTTTTTTTTCAACTTTTGAATAACCATTTCCCACCTGTATTTTGTTGTTATTCAATTTGATCTGAGTTTCCATATTGGGCATTTCAGTAGATAACTTTGCTTGCTCTACCCAAATCCAAATAGGCCTAAATTTAAAATTATGCTCAACCCCCCCCCCCCCCCCAGTTGGTTGTTCTGTTTAAGTTGTTTTTCTGCTGTCTCCTTGACTCTTCTTGGTTGGTGGGACTGTTAGTTACTACTGATTTTTTGTTGTTATTGTGAATCGGCAAGATAATTTATTTGGTTTAGTTTCTTTCTTGATCTAACGCCACAAAGTGCCAGTAGTTTGATTTTTTAAAGTAGTGTTTGGATGATATTTTTTTATTTTCGTAGAAGTTTTACGGTGCTTGCAACTGCATAAGGTCATATGAGCGCCAGACGATTAGAGGTGTTACTAGAGAGTAACAAACATAAAAAAGGAGGGGAGATAAGGACGGTAGATTTTTTTATAGGAAAGAAGAGGCAAACCACACTAGAGCACCCGCCAACCACCCACTGATGTTCTTTGCCTTACCTGGTCAGCCTCTCAGTAAAACAGATACAGAATAATGTTTTTATTTTAGTATGCAATTGCAAATGTGTTCTGAGCTAAGTTGGTGTCATGTGGACAGGGATGCAGGTGGTTATGGTTCGAATCCCCAAAGAGTCATTGTTGAGCTTAGGATAACTGAGGAGTTTTTGAAGTTCTCCTCCACTTGGCACAGTCTCTCTAGGATTGTTGTAATATTCTACTAAAATAGATATTAGAAAGTGTTGTTGTACCAGTACATTATTGTTCTGTCTTAAAGATACTCTCACTGTTTTTTTTCATATCACTGATACTGCAGCTCACTGATATTAGCAGTATGATTTAATAAAGCAGTTATTTCTATATCAAAATAAGATGGGGAGAACATAGTTTTGGCTTTTGCGGTGGCGGGTATGGAGCGGGTAAGGAGGGTGTTGATGAGACTATGAGACTATCATATTCCCAACCTTTATCATTTTGTTGTTTTCTTTGTAAACTGGATTTGGCAGGTGAGGTTAATAGTTTGGCTGTTTGCATTTTCATTGTCCGTTCCATTTGGTTCTCATGTGTATGGATTGCCTTTTATAATAAATAACTTGAGAAGTCTCCTATTGATCAGGTATATCTTTATAAAATTGTAAATGCATTCTTATACATATTCACTTACTTGTCTTTATGTCAGTGAGGAAAGCTCTGAAAATGAAGAACCAAGCTCAAGTACTGCTGGCATAGATGAGTCCTTGGCAGCTGCAATACAGTATCAGGTGAGGATACATCTTTCGCCTTACTGCTCATTCCTTCAAAATACTCACAACATTATGTATAGCAATGGTTTAAAATAAATCTTTTGTGGAAAGATTATGTCCAGGAAACATTACCTCTGCTTATGTTGACTTTCGCTGTGCACATTAGAAGAAAAGAATTGTTGAATAATTAACTGTCTTCAGTTGAACACATGCAGGCCTGGATACTAGATTGTAACTAAACCTGATTATCCTGTACTGTACTGGCAGAAAAGGAATGAAAGAGGGATGGGTTGCTTATGGTGATGTAAACACATTTGAACATGAAAACTAGATATGTTGTACTGTTGTTATAGAACTGGCAAAATAAAGTGTGGATGGAGGTTGTGAATTGTGTTTCAGAGGTGCTACATGTATTTCAACATTGTATTTGGAGGTAACATATTTTGGGAAACTTCTGCTATTTCCTTCCGTACCTTTGTGAAAAAAGTTGTTTGCAGTCAAACAACATTTAGTTCAAGGAAGTTCTCTTTTTGTGGACTCGGCTGCATATATAAATTCAGCACTTTAACTTTACTTTGAAAGAGGCAGTTTGTTTTTACTTGATGGTTTTTGTGTGTTATGTGTAAATGTAGTTTATATATTTGGAGGTGGTACCTATGTTCTGACATACTTTTGTTACCACAAGTTGTGGCCACTGAGCCATTATTGCAATGATAAATGTGGTGTAAGAATTTTCTATATAAAGTCTCATATTTTTAGCGTTTATGAGTTTCCTAGCTAAATGGTAAGAAGTTAACTCAGCTCAAACAATATGATGATTGGCAATCTGTATAAGATGGAGGTGTATACAATAGCAGAACCCTCTTTACAGACTGAACCATGTTTTATGTCCATTGAGATTTAAGTTGAAATAATTCTCTGACTAAAGGAGATATTATAATGGGTTGTTTTTTTTATTCATTATATGAGAGTGATTGCAGATGCTCTGGTATGGTTTTCTGATTCTTTCCTGTCATACATCTATCGTCCTGATCTCCCTCTTCTTTGTTGTTGTTGTTACTATCTTGTAACACCTCTTATCTTTGGCACGTGTATGACCATATTGTGTTGCGAGTGCTGTAAAACTTTTGGACTAAATTTCTCTGAAAGGATAGCTGTGAGTGGCTTTCTTCCTCCAGTAATTTGAGGATGGTAAAGGAATGTTTTAAACAAACCTTTCATTTTCATCATCAGGTTATGATATTTTGCACCGTCACATTGCCTCTTTTCTTTTGACTGCAGCAAGCCATGATGGCACGTGACATATCAGCGGAGGAGGACGAATCTGCTTCCAAAAGGAAAAAGTACAAGAAAGATGCATATTTCAGTGATGAAGAAGAACTGGATGATTGAGGTGGGGTCAGCAGCATGAATGACTTGATGCACAGGGACATGGTTCCGTGGGACTGCATTGAGATTGTGGTGACAGCTCGGTCAATAATTTAATGATGCATTCCTGTTAAAGAGCTCTGTGAAAGCCTACAGACTTCTGACTTGTGGGTATTTGAGTCTTGATACTCTTCTATAAAACAGCTCCGGATTTGACATGAGAGGCATCGTCTGCGGTATGTCTCTCAGAGACTACACAAATGCACTGGACAAATGGCACATGATTGAACTTTGAGCAAAGTTAATTGCTCACCTTTAAGAGTTTTGACTTTGGACTGCTTAATTATGCTGTCCCTGTCGTTTTATGCTAGAAAAATTCTGAAATTATCCAAACTGAGCCCAAAAATGTGAAATTATGCAATTCTGTTAATTTTAACAAAGAATGATAAAGGAAAATATTCAGAAATTATGCAAAAAATTATCAAATTTTGCTCAATTATGCGGGGGGCATAAAACTACGGGGACAGATTATGTACAGTATTTGTAAATGGGGCAGAGAGATTTTTTCACCATGTTTGTTGCTATTTTTTATTGTATAGGTTTGAAGCCCCTTTGAACACTAAGGTGTTTTATTTAAGAGGCAGGACCTCCGAATTGAATATCCATCTTGGACTGAGACAAATGAAAAGAACCCAAGTTCAGAATGTTGTGTCGTGGACAGAAGTCTTTATCATCTTTCTGTTATTAACAAGAATGATATGTAGTCTACTCACCATATTGACAGGTTCCCCAACGTAATTCAGAAATATATTAATATCCAATGTCTGAAACACCAAGCTCAGATTATAAACACTAAAACTTTCTGAACACTACACAAACACATGCTGAAAGTAAAAAGAACCCACACGAGCAAATATCCAAGAATGAAGTGACAATGCAGCAGGAGGGTTGAGTAAACTCTATTCTGCTTGAAAATAACGTCGCAGTTGACAGGCGTAATCCTCAGTGCTTCTACTCTTCCGTATTTTTACGGAAATCCGTACTTTCTGCCAGTTCCGTTCTTGTTCCTTCATCATGATCTACTCCCTCCGTAAAAAACAGCGACAGCGTAGGACTGCCAAAATTCTGTAGCAAAAGATCCGTACTCACCTTCGTATCGTCTAGTACTCTTATAAGTTACTAGCTGAGCACCCGGCTTTGCTCGGGGTCGACGCCTTGGCATCACTGCTCCTACTGGTCTACGCCGCTGAGGCATTTTACATCTACATGTACCTTGCTGTCTAGCATTTCACAGTCATACCTGGCTTCTAGATCTATATTGCTTTAGTTTAAGTCTGCCTTGATTAACTCCTTTCTTGATCTACATTGCTTTAGTGTATTGCTTCACAATCACAAAATACGGATTTCGCCTAACACCATCACAAAAAGCACTAAGAAAATAATATTCCACGAAAGGGCTGCTACACTGAAAAAGGAACTCACCGACGTCTTCAAAATCACAGAGGCAGTGTCTACAGCTTGTTCGCTTTCCTCTGACAACGTTAAAAAAAATTCTAGCTCATTGACAAATTACCCTAGGCCCGTGAAACTTTGCATGACACTTCTACACTTTATTCGAAATGTGAGCGTGCAAATTCATATGCACATTTCAGATTATGACATACGAATTGTGGCAATGCAACATGACTTGAAGATCAGAAATGGTCCCAGGCTCAAGTACTTGGAAAAGACTGTTTCTGCCCTCTGAGGCTGCATCAGTTTCCATGAAATAAACTTACAGAAATAAATGCTCATTTTGGGAGTCAGGAAGGAGAGAGCCAATTCCATGATATACTTGACCCTACACGCGAAACTGTGGATTCCATTCCATTGAGGGTTGCATCGGAATAGCCCATGGATGTGAGCTGAAAGCAATTGTTGTACAGCCTGATTTTCTCCAGAAAGTGAATGGACAGTGTCGACACACCAGACAGAAGGATTTACAGTTCAGGAGGTGGTTTTGGAAATGGATGCATATCAATTTTGCCATTGCTACAGTACATACCTTGTATTTCATATGGAAATCTTATGGCAAGGCAGTGTGTACACTGTGTCGTCAGTTCCCGAATGTTGCACTCGTACTGAAAGGAATTGACAATGTAGAGGAATGCTTTTGGGAGATTTAGATCTAGAGAGTTCCCATAATTTTGTTGTTAATCTAGACCACCTCGACCTTTGCGAGCTCGAGGGGTTCCAACTGCAGAACGTCCTTTTCTTTTCGGCAAGGTCAGGCGCTATCTAGGTCTAGATCTAGATTCTTATCTAAGATCTATTGACGTTGTTCCCTGTAGCAAGAAAAAGAATTTGACAGAGGAGTCCAGAAAAAACGATGATGGGCATCAAATGAAAGGATCGCAGTCGAATTTAGCTCCAAGTAAAAAAAAAAATAAAACATGAGGCTAGATCTATGATCTATATGGGTCGCACACTTAAAATAGTGTTCAGTATTGCGGGACAATGCGCGATAGTATTGAACGGAAGTACGCCTTAAAATAAACAAACCTAGCGGATTTTCTAAAATTACAGAGACAAAAGCGTCGGCCTACAAAAGCGATCGACGAAATAAAGAAGTTTAGCTTTTTGCAGCAAAACTGTCTCAAAACTGAAAAAATGAAGGGTGTCATGATCTGGAGAATATTTTACAGAATATTTTGGCGAAAACCGCATGTCCATCGATGCAGCCATTAAAAAGCCTTTTGACTAGCAAAATTTGGCCACCACAAATAGATAATAGATGAATGTTTACGGTAATTCTCTCGGCAACATGTTATTATAGAAACCTGCCAGATTGCGCATTTCTTGCAATCGGCCATTAATCCGCTTAGCCCCATGCATTCATTGCGGGCTGGTCGCAGTACATGTTTTACCTGCAGATGGATCAAAATCTGGCGAACTTTTTGTTCCAATTTCTTCTTTTCTATTTTCTATCATTCAGTCATTCTGTCAATCTGTGCGTTCACCAAGTAAATTGACTTGTGATCTTAGACTGAAAATTACTGTCAGAGAGAAACTTTTTTTTGCAAATTTATCTAGATCTAGAGAAATTATCAATGCGAAGATTCTACAGCGCGTGAATGCGAAGGGCCGCGATGAAAGAAAGGTGCTTTTTCGGTAGTTCCCATCCCCATTATTTGACCCTAGATCTAGATCTCTACGTTTGATGCGCGGTGAGCTAAGATATCAAACCTAACAACTACAAAACATCAAATTATGGTAAAATCAGGGGGGCATGCCCCCTGAAACCCCCCACCTTATTTTTATTAGGTCAGGGGTGGGGGGGGGGGGGGGGCTGCCCCCCTGAAACCCCCCCTACTCTTGGGGCCGAAACCCGCAAATAACAATTGCAGTGTGGGAACTACCGAAAAAGCGCCAAAAGGAATATGCAAAGACTACTAAATTGAAGAATAATTCGAAGTGGTGTTCCGAGGTTGTGACATGCGACATTCAGACGTGAAAATTGAGGAAAGATTTGGGTATGCTGTGCAACTGTATTGCGAAGGTACATATCTATTCATTATTCCCAGGTTTACCTTCTATCAATGGTGCGACGACAATATAATTGAATTATAGTAGCAATGAAAGGGAACCTGCTTTTAAGCATTGCGAGCAATGGAAAGATATGTAGATGAAGAAATCAAACAAGACAAAATGTTGGTGAAAAAATAAATTTATAGGTTGTAGGCAATCACTCAAACAGGCTCCCAAATGCTATTTTCAACCCTCTAAAAGCACTAATTTCCAATTTCTTCGGGGGCTTGGCCTCCTTAACCCCCACCGGGACTCTGTCCCTGGACCCTGCTGGGGGCCTTTGCGGCCCCCAGACCCCTGGCAGAAATTTCCTTAATTTTCAACTTCAACTGGTGGAAGCACTGAATCCTGGTAACTGTGGTAGTGCTCGTGGCAAGGTTCAATGCAGAGTGGAACTTTACACTTCTGCACTGTTATCTTGTCTCTTTCCTCCTCACATACTCATCTTTCCTGTTGCTTTTGATAGTGCAAGAAGATAGTCCAGGACACAGAGACTCCCAATCACATTGCGCATTGCCTCAACGAGAACATCTTTGCCTGTGTCTTGCTCACGTACCGAACATACACTCCTCGCCGCCGCATTGATGAGGGCTAACATGATGTGCGAAATGTAGTCTGATGTTTTCCCCCCCAAGTAATTGTCATGTGTCGAGCACAAGACACTGCACCTTATTGACAGTTAGGTGGATTTCATTTACATGGGTACCGTCTATTGTAGTGGCATCCCATGACAGCAACAATTTTGACGACTAGTCGTGCATAAACTCCATCAGTTAAAGAGTTGATAAAACGCCGAGCTCATAAACCATTTGAGCACATGTTGAGCCACACGGCACATTTTTTTATTTCAATTCCAGTTAGTTGTTTTGATGTCACATTAATAAAAAAAAATCCCACAATGTGTGACAGGCACATCGCCCGACAGCTGGTGGTAAACGATTAGGCAAATATCCGTCTAGTATGATTTACCCACTTTTGTTGAACGTGCTTCTTCTTCTGGATCTCTCGATCTCTTTAATTTGACAAAATATCTTTTTTTTAAAAATCTCCAACCTCCAACGAAATTGAATGAACTTTTCTGAATAAACAATTGATGTGGTCATTACAATACCATACCTAAGTCACATTGAGTAAGAAATGAGAAAAAGGCCAAAAACCGTTTTTTGGAATTCACCATATTTTTAATGTCAAAACTGCAACAGTTGTCATTCTTTGATGGAGAAAGGGCGAACTACAAACAGGCAACACCGTGGGAGTAAAACAATGTGGTTTTAAACATGATTTTGTATTTTGTTGCTGCAAATACTAACTTATGTCCATGGATGAACCTAGGCATGTTATGGCATTTGGTAAAAGAGGTGTTTTTTTCTTTTTTTTGGTGAGAAACATTAATAATTAGACACACCGTGAAAGCCGGCAAACTTTCACCCGTGCTCACTTTTCATCTTAATCGGGTTGAGGACACCATCCGTCGTAAGTGACATCAGGGCGTCCTCCATAAGTATCAGGGAGTAGAGCCTCTTGATTATTTTCAAATAGTTCTGAAGCAAGGAAAGGGGTGAGGGGATCATTTGCCTGATATTTCTCCAGGAAAGGCTGGAGAATTTTGCATATGCGCAGGAAGCAATGCAGCTTCACAATTAGAAGCTTGTCTGCTGTAAAAGAACTGATGGTTTTGTACGACATACACATGGGCTCTGACGCTTGACAATCCGTGCAAGCTTTCACATATTTCCTTGTCTGTGGGAAAACAGGCAGCAAACGCTCAGCTGTCCCTTTGTTCTCAAGCCACCTGTGGTCG